GCATCTTCTGAGGGCCTAAAGTGTACAGTGCTCCCAGAGTGCAACTTACAGTTTCAGTGACTGTTGCATCTGCTGGGAGGAGTTTTTCAAGGTTGAAATGGTTTTATGTCACAGAAGGGTCTCACAGGGTTATTCATGTTCTATATGGAAAGGATTATTCAAAAAGGTTAAAATTCCGGAAAGTTTATGAATATTTTGTAAAACAGAAAATTGTTGCATTTTGATAACTATTAGGTCGTCAAGAAATTAATGTCGCTCTTTTTGAGATGAAAAATGCCCGAACAACTTATACATATCAAAACAAAACATTTATTAAATGAAATAGTCTCCATTCTTATCCATCTTACAATCAGGTTGTTAATGCTCTGATTAAAGAAATCACTTGGCTTTGAAACAAAAAACATGTCGATGTCCTCTTTAACACCTTACACATATACATACGTTTTCCCATTAAGACGGTGTTGTAGCGAACGAAAAAAGATAGTAGTCTGATGGTGCCATATCTGGAGAATATGGTGGGTGGGGGAGAACTTCCCAACAAAACTCCATAATCTTGTGATGCATCAAACGTGCCACATGTGGACGTACATTGTCGTGGAGAAGAAGAACACCTTTCCGATGGACGAGTGAAGGGCATTTCTGATGAAGGGTCTGATTTAAACGTTCCAATTGCTGACTATAGATCTCTTCATTGACAGTTTGCTGTGGATTAAGGAGTTTGAAATGAATTACTCCTTTGATGTCTCACCAAATGCAAAGCATCACTTTCTGCGGATGGAGTCCAGGTTTTGGGATCGGAAGTGGTTTTTTTTTAGAACTGAACCATTGTTTTGGGTGTTTAATATTCGCATAAGGAATCCATTTTTCATCACCGGTGACAATTCTGTCCAAAAATGGTTCACGCGCAATACACGTCAGAAGAGACAAAGCAACGTTCACATGTTGAAAACGACGATCATCGGAGAGTTCGTGAGGCCCCCAAACACCTTCTTTATGAAGTTTTTCCCATATTCCTTAGATTTTACATATTGTTTCATGAGAGACATGCAATTTCAGGGCCATTTCATGATTGTGCTGCCTTGGGTTTGACTCAACTAGCGTCTTCAGAGCATCAAGTATAAATTCCAACATGTAGACCCCTGCCATCACAGTTTTTAAGGCTAAAGTCACCTGAGGAATTTGCT